GGAACGCTCTGCACCTTGCTCATGTCGTGTGAAGCCCCGCTCCCCTCGGTCTTGCCATGCATTCTGCAAAGCAAGACATGCACGCGCTGCCATGATGGCGATTTTCTTGGTTGTGTGTTGCGGTCACCTTGAAGCCTTGAATGCAGCCATAGGTGTAGCTGTAGTAGGCGTTGATCTTGGTGATCGGGCCAAACTTCTTCCAGGCCGACGTCTGGTCCACGTAGCTGTCGAGGGTGGCGCATGTGCGTGTGCTTGTATGTGGGCACACATGCACGTGTGTGTTGGCGATGCATGTGTGCGCATATGTGGGGCGAAGCACGGGGCGTGCATGGCATGGGATGCTCGGGGCGACTGCTGCGTCAATACGCAAAAGCGATAGGTCGTTGATCATGCTGCATGCCATGATCAAGCACATGCTTTTGCCGCCTGCATGCGCAAAGCATGCAGCACTTGACGGCGCATGGGCCCCCATGCGCCCTCAGTTTCGCCCGCTCAATCACCACCGCCCGGCAGCAGGTGCTTACGTCAAGGGCTTGCTGGTGTCCTTGATACCAAAAAACGGCGAGTAGCCTGTGACCTGATCAGCGCCCTTAATGCCACCAGGGCAGTCCCAGGCTGGGATGGCGGGCATGCGCGAGACGCACGTGGGCCAGCTGTGAAAAAAGCGGGAGCAGCGCAACGCATGCTCGCCATCGCCGCGCCGCGTGCCAAGGCGCAAGCTGCTCACCTGCCACCTGGCCTATGGCCAATGCCAGCAGCAAGCAGCTGGCGAGCCTCATCATGGCTGCTGGAGTCCCAACCTACAGCAGGTTTCGTTTGCATGGAGGCGCAGAGCGTCAGCGGCACAGAGGCACTGGCAAGCAGGTGCGTGGGCCTCAAAGCAGCTACAATCGACCAGATGGGCACCCGTGCACGAATGGGCACGCGGAGAGGGCGCGACGGCGCACCAACGTTCGGTGTTGACCAGAACGGTTCTCTGCTTGATAAGTGCTACGAAGGTATGTATGCGTGATAAGAAAAGATCATGAAAGGCTGGATCACAAAGGCAGTGTGATTGAACGGAGCCTTTGTACCAGGCACTAGACAGGGTGCGAACAGAACTCGCAGCGATCTGGAGCACAGGGTGCCTTGGAACTTTTACAACGGCTTATCATCATACTAGGTTGGCCTGTCAGACTGCGCATTCGCATGCTAGGTGGTTCCGCACGTGGATGTGCGCGTTGATCCCTTTAGATGCGGCCTGGCGTCGCCAATGCAGACTTTTTGAAGGCCTGGTGTGAGACACACGAGCATTTCATTCCCCGGCCTCGCCGACGGAACGATCGGGCCGTGCCGCCAGCGCCAGGTGCTGCAGTCGCTGGTGCGTCCACTCCCAGCACAGGCAGCTTGTGCACGGCCCCAGGGTTGGTCCGACCACAGTTGCATGCGACGGCTCGCTTGACACCATAGCATGCACGCTCCTGTTCGGCGTGGCATGGTCGTGTCGGCAACGGTACACTCGCGTGCGGAGTGACATCATGCATCGCCCTGTGTGCTCCCTCAGGAGCCAGCTCACGGCCGCACACGCCCTCACCGGAGGAGCTGAGCCAGCGCAGCGTCGATCTGCTGCTGACAGAGTACTACAGGGTACGCAGTGGGGTGCGGCGTTCTCTGTCACCCGTAAGCAGCGAGAAGAGCTGTGGGCGTGCTGCCTGCTGTTGAAGCACAAGTACTGTGTGCTTCAAAGAAAACTGCCAACATCGCAAGCTGAAGAGCTCTTACGTTTCTTGTCCGTCCATGCCGTGCAAAATGATGGTCACGCCGTCCGCCATGCAGATGGTCAAGAGCAGTCAGGGTTCACGCGGCCCAGGGGCAGGTGCGCAACGCGAGCGACCTCAGCACGCGCAATTTCACAACAAGCAGCTGCCGCAAACGGGCATACTTGCTGCAAACGCGCCATTTGACCATCTGGAGTGCCGTCGCATGGCTGGCCTGAGGCGCTCATCAGCGGTCGGCCTTTTGCCACATCCCCACAGGCCTGCCCAGCCCTGTGAACCGTGTGTTCCTTGAGGTCTTCTGCCAGCCGCTGCCGCTCCCCAGTTTAGGGGGTGTCGTCTTGCTGGTGGCGGCGGCGATCAGCGGTGTGGCGCATGCCCTGGTACGTGGTTTGGGCTCCGCTGCCGCGTTGCATAGTTTAGGTCATGATCGTGGCGGCGTGGATTGTGTGGCCACATGATGCACTACCACCACGCTCCGCGCGCCATGGATCTTGCCAGGTGTACCTGGCTTGGCTTGTCATCCCCGCGCTGCTGGCCGTACTGGTGACGCTGCTGCAGCAAGGGAGGCGGTGTGATGCCGCTTTTGTGGGCGTCGTCAGCATCATTGCGCTGCTGGCCGCAAACGCAGCTGTGCGGGCCGCGGCGGAAGCTCGCAGGGACAGGCGGCAGGGACTTGTCACTGGATCCAACGTCCAGGACTTGTTGCCAGGTGCGGCATGCGTGCGTGTGAGGGCCGCCAGATGCATAGGCTTTGCTCAGGTACATGTTTCGGACCCATGGAACACCTCAAATGTTCATGACTTGGCCTGCGACATGCATCCCCTTCAGGGAGTCGTTTGGCATCTCCTGACGCGCTCCAGCCCCGCTTACGCCTCTGCAACCACATCGTCAGGGGCATTGATGGTCGATCGCCCATTCTTGCCGGTGGGAGCCGTAGACCAGGTGTCTCCAGCAGGAGGCGAGCAAACGGAGCAGCAAGCCCAGCAGCAGCAGCAGCAGCAGCAGCAGCAGCCGCAGACCGCAGCCAACCACGGCCCGTCAGCCGCCCCTGCGCCTGGTGAACAAGGGGCCGCATATGCTCAATTGCTTCCAGGGTTGGAAAAGCTGCAGCGGGTGGTATTTGGGGCGCCCAGCGGCACGGGCGCAGCTGGTATCAAAGAGCAGCTGGCGGCAGGTCTCACACAGTGAGTGCCTTGACATTGGCGATTGTTGCCAGGCATAGCTGGGCCGGCTGAGTCCTGCAGGGGGGTAACATGCTGCTTGAAACTGCATGTGGGCACATGCCCACGCGCCTGGCGCCTGATGTGGGCACACGCCCCTGCGCCCTGCTGCACGCTGTGCCGCTTGTTCTGGCCGCCAATGCATCCCCGTACCCACATACTGCCCCTTCACGCCGGCCACAGAATAGCAGACACAGTGGGGTACACTCTGCCCCCTGGCGCACTGGACAACGCTGACGCTGCTGCGCGCACCATCGAAGCCCTGAGCAAGCACCTCGGGTGTTCCTAGAAACAGCAGGTTGAGGCAGCCTGCCATAGAGCTTGGCGTGCCAACCGGCGTGGACCCATCTCGCGTAAACTGTGTTGTGAATTTTGGGGTCTACCATCCCCTGATGTGGGTTTTGCGTTCCTTGAGTCTTCTTCACCGCTTCCTCTTGTGACATCTCTGCATCCCATTTCCATAATTCTTTTGTGTTCGAGTGTGGCTGCATACAGCCAGCTGCCGCACCCCCACCCCCACCCCACCCACCACAGCGAATTGCTGCTGTAACCTCACTAGAACTCGCGCATGTAATCTTACTGGGTGTCGACTCCGCTGCCAGGGAATTAAAATCACCAAAAGGGGCGAGACAAAAACACCAGGACGTGCTCAGACTGGCCTCCAGCTGCCAACTCAGCGCGCCCGCCGCTGTGGCCTGACCGAAGGTCGGCCGTCAACTCCTCACTGGGAATGGCGTGTGACGTACAGCGGCATGCCGTGCTGCGCCCCCAGCGCGTTTTGCAGCGCTCAGGGGCCCTGCCACTGTCGCATGTGCCACTGCAGCGTCTCAAGCTGTTGCCCATGTCATCGCTCAGCTGCCTTCTCGCTCACTTAGTACCTGGGCTCGAATTTGAGTTGCGACAGGCAATTGTACGATGAGGGGCTGAGCACGCATGTGTGCCGATCACTGGTTCGCCGACGAGTGCGGCGCCCCCACGCGGCGCATGCGTGATGGCGGCCCGCCCCGTGCTGCCCTGCACCCCACTCCGTCTGCCAGACATCCCGCAGTTTCACCCCACACCGCCCTACGCACCCTCCGCTGTCTGCTTCTTGGCAAGCTTCTCCTGGAGGGCCTTGGCATCGCGCTCCTTGCGCTGCGCAGCCGTCAGCCCATCCTTGTCCTTGGCCTGAGCAGGGTTGCAGCGTAAAGGCGGTCAAGTAGGCTTCACAAGGCGGGAAGCGAGCGCTCGGCCACACAGAGACGCTGCGCGTTGGTTTGGCACATGCGCTGTCGCCATCGGCTTGCTCACCGGCGTGCCCTTGCCACCGGCGCGCTTCGCGGCACGGGCCCTGTCCACATCACGCTGTAGTGCAGTTGGTAAGGGGTGCAGTAGAGAGGGGGTGGGTGGGTGAGGATGATGTGCACAGGAGCAGTGCTGGCGAGCTGCGCCGCGCCGCACAGCCCAGGCGCAGCGTGGCGATTTGGCCCACAGCAGCCGTGCCCCCGCACGCATGACCCACCTGATTGCCACGAGACATATTGCTGCTTCGCGAGAGAGAATCACGGCTTCCTGCAGCACAAACGAAAGACTGATGATGAGCGAGGCCCGAGTTCTGCCACCCTTGCCCTGCACGGGCATGCCGACAGCTGCTGGCGCGTTTAATAACAATTTTCGGCTATCGAACTGCACCCCACGTTCACAAACAGCACTGGCCTAGGGATCGGCGCGCCGAGTGCTTGCAGGGACTCACGGAGGGCTGTTTGGCGTTGAAAGCCCGCCCACTGGCCTTTTTGCGGTGTCTGCAAGACGCCCAGCTGATGGCGCGGCAAAGCTTTACCAAACCGATGTGCCTGCAGGGCGTCCGCTCAGGCTCGCCCAGTGTTCGCATTGCTGCAAATGTATGCGCATTGCTGTGCAGCCCTCGCATCACCTACTTACACTTGCTGACGGCCCGCGAGCCATGTACTCACCGTGATAATAGTTGGCCCACACTCGCAGGCGCGCCCAGTCCAGTCTGCCCAACCTGGAGCGCACGCCGTCAAGTCCAAAGCGCAGCGGTCATGCCCCGAGCGTGTTTTAGGCACGGTCAAGGTGGTCCCTGTTTGGCTCTAGGCATGAACACCATCCCAGATGCCCAGCATTTCATGCGCTTTGCAGGAGAAACGTAACAGCAAACCGCAATTCTACTCAAGATGCGTGAATGGCAAAGCGCGAATCAGACAAGAGGGGCCATAGATCTAGGCTGCTCCCTGGGGCCATCAACGGATGTGATGGACACAGCTATGATGGCCAGTGATGCTGGTGCTTTTGAGCACGTCCCAGCCAGGGTCCCAATGTGAGTCAACTAGGAGAGACAAAGCAAGAAGTTGGTATGTAATTCCAGGCTCCAAATGCTACGCCTCACCCACAGCCGTGCTGGTCGTGAAGCGGGTGGCAGTGGGTTCCCATCTAGTCCAGCAGCACCTATGATACGAGGCTATGCTTTGCATGCACCGCATGCGCGGAGCGCGGAGCGCGGTCATTACACCTACACAGCCAGGAGTCGTGCTTTTGATTGTTGGACCCCGGCCTTGGAACCCCATTGTGGACGTGGGTCCTCAATCGAAAAAGGTGGAGAGGGCACAGGACAATCCACACGTTTGGGGGTTCACTGGACGGTGAGGGTTGCTAGCGTGGCGTGGCGCGGCGTGGCGCGGCGTGGCGCAGCGTGGCGCGGCGTGGCGCGGCGTGGCGTAAACGTGCACTGACGAACTGCCCGTGCCAGGCTCGTCGCCAGGGTGTGAGCTGCGGCGGCTGCAGGCGCGGGCTGTCAAGCGGACACGCCCTCGATCAAAGGCGTCGGGCGGATTACGTTTTTGATGCCTGTTCCATGGTTGTGTGCCTCGTCCGCGAAACGTGCCTCACAAGTGGCCCCACCACGCTGGTAACCCAGGACCCCCATGACGCCGCTTGCACGCGCTCTCACATGTAGGTGCTGCTTTTGACATGTGGCGCGGGGGCGCCCCTTCCCTCGTGCAGCCCCAAGACCCCCTGGTCACGATGGCGAGTAGCGGCTCGTGGCGCCGCTGCATGCTCTACCTGTGGCCCCAGGCGAGCAACCTGCCCAGCAATATGAAATCACCACCCTAGTAAGCACCGATTTCACGCCTCCTTTTTTCTGCAAGCAGGCGCCTACGACCCACATGTTTTGAGCGGGAGCCAAGCGGGTTTTGCCCCAGCCATGCACACATCGAGTTCCTGTTCCTGAGCGCGGAATGCCTCTAGTGCACAATTGGACGTTGACGGCGCAGTGTCCTCGTACCCTCCTTCTGTGAGGCGAGAGCCTCGCACACCGACACGTTCAACCCGGAGAGCCCATAGGCGGACTGTCCCCAGCGCTTGATCTTTTAGTAGCTCTTCAGATCTCTTTTGCAGCTGGCGAAGATGCTCTCTCTCGCCCTCCGCTCAGCTAGCACGAACAGCCTGCCCCAATCCGCTTGCAGCCCGCTCTCGCTGGCATACTCGGCCAGCATCAATAACGTGGCAGACGTTGAAGAAAACTTTGAGGAGGAGCTACTGTTTGATGACGGCGACGCGCAGCCGGGGTGAGCGTGCGTTGGGGGTGAGAGGCAGCGTCCCCCGCCGCACATGCGGTGCAGCGCTGTCGCCGCGGCCACTGCAGCCCATTGGCAATCACATGCACGACCGGGCATGGCTGAGCAAGTATCGTCGCAACTCGCATGGGAACCATCTGGTTGACGGGGCCATGTTGGCCGTGGATCAACATGAAGCGCGCGCCCATGGTCTCCATTTGCGATCAGACCTCGTGCGCTGCGAAGCACTGCGTGCAAACCTCCCCCCATATCCCCCCAAACGCGTATACACACAGTTCGCCTGCTAGCGGCGAGGCCACCGCTGCTGATGCGGCCCAGCTGCGGCAGCGGCGCCTCGAGAACGCCAAGCAGCACCTGCAGCAGTCACCCGTGAAGCTGTCTGTGCTAGCCTCAGCCTGGGATGTGCCCGCGGCGCGCACAGCGGCAGTCCCCGCTGTCCTTGGCGGCGGCGGTGGCATGGCCCAATCCATGCCGCGGCCGATCAGCGGGTCGCGGCTGGTGCGGCTGGCGGCCGGCGACGACAGCGACGAGGAGGAGCCCTTCGTGCCGCCCCACCTGGCGGCCGGCATGGCCGAGCCCCAGGTGAGCCTCCTCTCGCGCCCGCACATGTGCAGGCCATCGCAACTGCCGACATCTCAGCGTCGAGCCCCGCTGGCATGTCATCATCAAGCGCCCTGCAGCCTGGGATTTTGATGAATGCGCTTCCCCCGCTCACGGGCCCTGTCGCCCCTTCCCGCCGCCCGTCCCGCCTTTGTGACCCTGTGTTGAAACAGCGCCACCTTCCCCCACACCCCACACCCCACCCCCAGGTGTGCATGTCTCACAGCATGTCCACCAAGGGAGCTGCCGCCCTGCGCCTTCGCTCCACGACGCTGCGCCAGACGGGCTACCTGGAGGGAGTCATGGGCATGCCCGGCGCCACTCCCGCCCACCTGCCCAGCGCCTGAGCTTGAGGGCGACGTGTGAACGCCGAGGGCTGCCAGAACTGCCCGTCCGGCAGCCCCAGTCTTTCGCCTTCGCCGCGTATGCCGCAGTGTTTGCTGGGACCAGCACCTACGCCGTCGCACAAGTGTGGAACCCCCAGAAACAAACCGCTGCCAGGCACGGCGCCCGTCGGCTGGGAGTGGCCGGCGCGCCGGGCGATTTTCTGGCAATCGTGGCTGGATGGCCGCCCCTCTCCAGGCGCCTGAGCACCCCCTGGCAGCCAGCAGGGGCCCCACATGCCAGTAGCACGGGCAGAAGCAGCCTTGGGACCCCCGGAGCCCTCTGCACACAACAGCGGCAACCCCGATCGGCGCCCGGCCCCCAGCCCAATGCCCAGTGGCGGCCGCACGTTCCGCACCTGGGGCCACAATGTTGAGTGCGTATGGACCCTTCTGCAGTTAGACAGTGGGCAAGGTCGTTATGGGCACATTTTTGTCCCCCGCAGCCCCCCCTCGATATGCTCGACTCTTTCGGCGGCACAGCGCGTTGGAGCCTGCCCGGTCGTCCCGCGCAGAGCCCCTGGTCACGGTCTGGGCCTGTGCCCGTCCAGTATGCTGCCGATGACGCGTCCGGCATGGTGCGTCCATGACCGCCGCCAGCCATCGTTGAGGGAGACTGTGGGGGCCAGCCGGCAGCCGGAAGCTGGTTTGGCCGGCTGGCCCGTGTGCCCTTGGTGGCGCACCAGGCTGTCATGCCCCCCCCCCCCAGGCTCTTGTTTGCCTCTGCAGTCCCCCCCAGCCCTTGGGCTCACCATGCTGTGTCCTTGAGGCGCTGAGTAGGTTTGATCAGGGGAATCGCCCGTCGGGATCGGTCTTTTTGTCCCAGGGTTGCGCGTAGGTGCCTGTGTGTTTGTGTTCATGCATTGTGGCAGTGCACGCATGACCTTGAGAGCCATGGGACGAGAGCACTGCTTACTGAGCGAGGCCCCTCTCTCCCTCCACACCAAACCCCTTTCCGCGCCAATGCCGCTGCGTCCGGCACCGCCCCGCACGCTGCGTGCGCCCAACCCTTGGCACGCGGGGGGCTGAGAGACCCCCTGCGATTCGGCCGACGCCCACCTTTTTGCACCTGCGCCTGCTGAGATTCCAGCGGACCCCTCGTTGCTCACCCTTATGGCTGCCGCATGTTTGTTCAGCCCGGCACGCCCAACCGTGCGTGCGCACTCTGCCCCCTGGGCCCCTGCATGTATGCCCCAAGAGCATGTACCTTGAGAGCGCGCATGTCCGCGCAAATTCCGCCGAGCGCCCCCGGACGACCCCAGCCCCTCTGCCCCTTTGCCCCGATCCCCCTCGCGCGCGCGCCGTCGTGCGCGCGTTGGGGTGTCTCTGGTATCTAGAGCAGGGGCGCGGCAGGTCACGCCTGCGCAGGCGCAGCCTTTTGCAGTGCAGCCGTCTGCACCATCTCATGGGGCCTCTCCGCTCGCGCCGCTGCTGCGCCACTGGCGTGGAGCCCGCACCCTCGGGCGCCCGTGGCCCAGCCGAGAGCGACCAAATCTTGTCGAAGATCAGACAGCAATTTTGTGCAATTCATCCCCTTGTCCAGTCCTCGGCCTGCTGGCGCCTGTTGTCGGCGTTCCTCCAGGTCTTAGGCATTTTTATGCACCCATTTTTGCTGTAGCACACCTGGGTAAAGATCAGACCGGGACTTGAGCCATGTGATGCGGTGTGCAGGAGCAGGCAGCAGGGGGGGCAAGGGCTTGCCTGGTGCTGTTTGGGTCAGCCGGCTGCTCCCCAGGGTTGAGGCTGTTGGGGACATGGCCTGCTTTTCACCTGATTGGTTTTGATGATGGCGAAGTCGGCTCGGATGAATGTGTACAGGGTACGTTGTGCCTTGCAGGTGGAGGGTTGCAGTGGCTTTGGCAGTGCAGTACAGCGCAGACCTGCATTGTGCGGCATGTGGGGCAGGGCGCGCAGTGGCGGCGCGAAAAGCGCGACTGAGAGCGGGCACCGTGGCGTGCATTGTGTTACTAATTTGTCGCGAGGCAGCAGGGTGGGCTGACAACGCGCAGCATGTAAAACCTTCCCACACACAACATGGTGCCATGGAGTGTTCCGAGAGAATGCCGCCGCTGCAAGCCGATCCTGTGCTGAGTCCTGAAGGCACCGGGCATGGTGGTCTGGTCCACCTGAGGACCAGGCAACTGAAATAGCTCTCAACGTTTCAAGGCGATGTTTGGCCGTATCAGAACGCCATCGTCAGTGTCAACCCAGGAAGCCAGCTGTGCGGCTTGCTTGAACGCCGACACCCTCCACCCGGGTGGGGTGGGCTGCCGCCAGCCGGGCGCTCCTCAATTACTTGGTGCACCACCGGAGACGTGACGGTGACTGCCTGCGGCCTACCGCTGCTTGCAACTGTGTGTGCACCCATGCATTGCCGCATATTGCTGCGTCTGAGGCTGGGACTGTCAACCAGTGCCACTGCGCGTGTGAGTGATTGGGGGGACCAGGTATGGCGACGCAGCTGAGGCGGGTCGGGGGTGATGGAGTGCCACGTGCGGCACGAGCAAGCAACACGAGTGGCCCAGCCCTCAGCATATGCAACAGTCTCGCATCGCAACAAATACGATCAATTAATACATAATGGAGATACATCGCCACAAATCGAGGGGCTGACATCGAGATAGACCGTTTGATGAAATCTTGGCTGTCGCAGGTCCACTCGGGGAGCTGCAGGGAGCCTAGTTTACGCACAAGGAAGCTACCGCGATGATCAATCTCAGGAGCCCGCGCGCCTTTGGCGGAGCACAGTCCACATCAGCGCAACGCACTCTCGCGCGTGCGCGGGTGGCGCAATGCTCGGACCCTGCGCCCCCGGGCCGTCCATCCGCCGCCGCCTGCTCGGCGTTTGGCCGTTCTTTGCCACTCTCTGGCTCATTGGTTGCGGAGCAGGCGCCCGGTACAGCCGCTGCTGCGGCGGGTGCGGCGTGGGCGGAGTCGCAGCGCACCCTTGAGCGCTCGCCCCCCACAGAGGTACCGCCCGGCGAGGCAACCGCCAGCTCAGCAGAGCGCTGCCCTCCTGCAGTCGGCACTGCCGACACGCCGCAGCAGACGGCCTGGGACCAGCAACAGCGGCGATGCACGCAGCAGGCCCCGCCGCCGCTGTGGCTGCCGGCCTCGGCGGAGCTCCTGCCCGATGCGCCCCCGGCCGTGCCGCGCGCACAGACGCGCGCCGCCGCTGCCACGGCCGCGGCCGCCTGGCGCGAAGTGACGGCAGCCGGGGCGGGCGCGAGGCCCTGGGTTAAGGGCGGGCAGCAGCAGCAGCAAAATCCGCAGGGGCGCGGCGCGGCCGGCTGTGGGTTGGCGCCGCCGCGCGTGTTCATGGGGGCGGCGGCCAGCCAGGGCCCCAAGGAGTCAATGGAGGACGCCCACTTCATCGCAGCCCTCGACCCCTGCGGGTGCGCTGCCGCGCCGCGCCGCCTCATCCCTTGTGCTCCTCAGCCGAGAGCGCGCGTGCGGCTCGTTAGCTGGCGCTTTGGGGACCGTGCGCCGCAGCGGGCTGGCCACGTGACCCCCTGCGCCCCTCGCGCGGCCGCCGACACGGTCCCTAATAAAGCGCCGCGCCCGCCGTCCCCTCCGCTCATGCGACCCCCCCGCCTCCCCAGCAGTGGCGTCCTGCGCCCCCGCGGGGCCGCAGCGCCGGCCGGCCACGTGTCCAGCCTGGGCGTTTTTGACGGGCACCACGGCGCGCTCACCGCCACAATGGCGG